CCCAGCCCCTGCCCCGGCTGTGCCCCCCAAAAACCCACAGAGCCCCCGAAGCCTCCTGTGATAGGAAACCTCCCCAGGGTTTGCTCACAAACAGGAATTGTCCCCGCCTTGCCCCCTTCCTGGGCCTTTGTAAACTTAATTTTACTGAATTGTTCCCGCGGGGGGGATGGGGGGGCATCACGGGCCCCTCAAACTGCATCGAGCTCTGCCCGGCCACAGGAACTGGCAGCCAGAGCCCAAAAATGATGATTTTAAGATGAAAAATCAGTCGAAATTTAAAAACCAACCCCAAATTTCCCTGAACAAGATTAAAAACCAAACCCAAATTTCCCTGAAGAAGAGGAAAACAGACCCGGGCTTCTTTTCCCTTGCTTGAAATTATGCAAGAGGTTTTTTTTTTCCTTCTTAATTTTCCCTTCAAGCCCAAGGATGAGGAACCCACCCCTGGCGGGAGGTCTCTGCACCAGCCCCCTCTGCCCCCCCCAGTCCCACAGGCAGATAAAAAAAGCCAAACTCCTTTTAAAGCACTTTTTTTTTTTCTTTTTTTTTTTTTTATTGATTTCATTGAAAACAGAACAAGAAAATGATCAGAGCCAAAAGACTGCTCCTTTAAAACTGTCAAAAACATTAACAGAAAAAAAAATAATAATAATAAACATGACGGCATTATGAATGTTCTAGAAGAGATGAACAAAAAAAACTGTTACTGCACTAATTACAGTATTTAAAGATATATGCAAAAAAAAAAAAAATTAAGATAATGACCTGCCCAGCCACCACACAAAAGGTGATGGCAAATTTATTCACACTACAATACTAACAATTTAAAAAAAGTTTTGTTTTTTTTTTCCTGCATTTTTATACTAAAATCACTTTGTTCTTTTTATACAATTGATAGTTTATATTCACGTGGTGAGCAAAAATCACACCAGAATCAGCACCGTTTTGTTTTGTGGTTTCTTTTTGTTGTCGTTTTCTTTTTGTTTGTTTTTTTTTTTTCTTTTTTTTTTGGGTGGGTTTTTTTTTTTTTTTTTTCCTTTTTCTTTTTAATGCTAGTCCCCAATGTTTCGGTAATGGTAAAAAATAAATTCAGTTTATTGAAACCTCAGAGCGTGTGGCTTAAAAATGAATCGAAGGTGCCCAGCGTTGAGGAAAGTGATGGGAACAGACGAGCTGGTGGCATCTGGGATCTTCTCGCCGTGACACGTCCTGGCTGCTCCTCGCCCCAGCCGGCAGACGCGAGTCGAGGTTCTCTATAATATATATATTTCTCATTCACTTTATTTAAAAAAAAAAAAAAAAAAGAGAGAAAAAAACAAACAAACAACTGTTTTTCTGAAGTTAGTGTCTTGAACAATCCCCTTCAACCTTCCCTCTCCAGAGCCGGGGGAGGGAAATCCTTCAAATCCTTCGGCGGATGAAGTGAACACTGAGACAGAGACACGGCCCCATGGACGAGAGCTGGTTCCTCATGGAGAAAGCCCCAAGAGCTGGTTCCTCACGGAGAAAGCCCCGGAGGGAGCGGGGGCCCGGGCGGGGGAAGTGTCTCTGGTGGGCTCAGGAAGGAGCCAGGGATCAAAGGGATTCGTAAGGACCTTGGGTTTCTTCTCAGCGGAAGAAGAAAAAAAAGCCAGTAGATTTGGTTAAGCAGGAGGGTATTTGTTAGAAACGCCCCTCCAGCTCCTGGGGAAAGAGGCCCCACCGACACGTCCTGCGAGATGTGGGAGAAATCCATGATTTTAAAAAAAAAAAAAAAACACAACAAAAAAACCCCAAACAACCAAAAACCAACCAAACCAACCAGCAGAACCTGCCCCGGGGGCTGTGCCAAGCAAACCCAAAACGCCAGCACCTTCCTCCCCCTCCCCTGGCTCCCTCCCCCTCGGCTTTTAGAAAGAAAGTCCCATCAAGTATTCAAAGTTTATTACAAGTGAACTGGAGATGACTTGGCATGAGGGATCCATTCAGTTAACAGCAGGCGGAGGACGGCGGCTCTCCCCGGGCTCTGACAACACCCAGCACGTTCAGAGAGACAGGGGCCGGGACGGCTCGGGTGGAAAAACAACCAACCACAGCCACCCCCTCCACAGCAACTGGGAAACCCAGCAGCTTTCCAGCCCCGGGGAGGGGAGAACACCACCACGGAGGTGGGATGCTTTTACTTATTCCTCAAGTAACAGTCGGTGGCACAGCCCTAAGTGTGTCACAAACCCCTGGCTTTCCTTGAGCGGGTTGTTTTTTTTTTTTCGTTTTTTTTTCTTTTTGTTTTTTTTTGTGTTTTTTTTTTTCTCTTTAAATGGAAATTCAGACAGTATGTGAATCTATAGGGTTTAAAAGGAGTCAGTCTCTGGGGATGCGGAGCCTCAAAAGGGGCCGGGTGCCGTGGCAGAGCTGGTGTCGGGGAGCCCGTTCTCCTGCGTGTCCTGCGAGGAGGTGCTCGCCTGCCGCTGGGCCAGCGCTGAGCTCGAGTGTTTGCACTTGGGTGAACCGCACTGACAGCTGAAGTATTTGCCTTTGATGTCCCAGAACCTGTCCCCGTAGTCAAAGCTGCCAAAAGAGAGAGAGAGGGACAGGGAGGGGGTCACTGGGAAGCAGCAGAAGGCAGGAGCAACACGCCGGGCGCAGCAACCCTCGGTGATGCCACAAACTGGGTTTTTTTGGGAAGTTTCAGGGGATGGAGGGTGCCTGGGGGATCCCCGGGGAGTGAAGGGATGGAGTGAACCAGCTCAGGAGCAGCAGAGCTTCTGTTCCTCCACACTCCATCCCTCCCTGTCCCTCTGCATTCCATCCTTCCCCATCCCTCCATGCTCCATCCTTCCCCATCCCTCCACGCTCCATCCTTCCCTGTCCCTCCACACTCTATCCTTTGCTCCATCCTTTGCTCCATCCTTCCCCATCCCTCCACGCTCCATCCTTCCCCATCCCTCCATGCTCGATCCTTCCCACCATCCTTCCCCATCCCTCCTTGCTCCATCCTTCCCTCCATCCTTCCCTGTCCCTCCATGCTCTATCCATTGCTCCATTCTTCCCCATTCTGTCCCTCCATGCTCTATCCATTGCTCCATCCTTTACCATCCCTCCATGCTCCATCTTTCCCTGTCCTTCCATGCTCTGTCCTTTGCTCCATCCTTCCCTGTCCCTCCACGCTCCATCCTTTGCTCCATCCTTTTCCATCCCTCCATGCTCCATCGTTCCCTCCATCCTTCCCTGTCCCTCCATGCTCCATCCTTCTCCATCCCTCCATGCTCCATCGTTCCCTCCATCCTTCCCTGTCCCTCCATGCTCCATCCTTCTCCATCCCTCCATGCTCCATCCTTTGCTCCATCCTTCCCCATCCCTCCATGCTCCATCTTTTGCTCCATCCCTCCACGCTCCATCTTTGCTCCATTCTTCTCCATCCCTCCATGCTCCATTGTTCCCTCCATCCTTCCCTGTCCCTCCATGCTCCATCCTTTGCTCCATCCTTCCCCATCCCTCCATGCTCCATCTTTTGCTCCATCCCTCCACGCTCCATCTTTGCTCCATCCTTCATCCCTCCATGCTCCATCGTTCCCTCCATCCTTCCCTGTCCCTCCATGCTCCATCCTTTGCTCCATACTTCCCCATCCCTCCATGCTCCATCATTCCCTCCATCCCTCCCTGTCCCTCCACAGCCCATCCTTCTCTATCCCTCCATGCTCCATCCTTCCCCATCCCTCCATGCTCCATCATTCCCTCCATCCCTCCCTGTCCCTCCACAGCCCATCCTTCTCTATCCCTCCATGCTCCATCCTTCCCCATCCCTCCATGCTCCATCATTCCCTCCATCCCTCCCTGTCCCTCCACAGCCCATCCTTCTCTATCCCTCCATGCTCCATCCTTCCCCATCCCTCCATGCTCCATCATTCCCTCCATCCCTCCCTGTCCCTCCACAGCCCATCCTTCTCTATCCCTCCATGCTCCATCCTTCCCCATCCCTCCATGCTCCATCATTCCCTCCATCCCTCCCTGTCCCTCCACAGCCCATCCTTCTCTATCCCTCCATGCTCCATCCTTCCCCATCCCTCCATGCTCCATCATTCCCTCCATCCCTCCCTGTCCCTCCACAGCCCATCCTTCTCTATCCCTCCATGCTCCATCCTTCCCCATCCCTCCATGCTCCATCATTCCCTCCATCCCTCCCTGTCCCTCCACAGCCCATCCTTCTCTATCCCTCCATGCTCCATCCTTCCCCATCCCTCCATGCTCCATCATTCCCTCCATCCCTCCCTGTCCCTCCACAGCCCATCCTTCTCTATCCCTCCATGCTCCATCCTTCCCCATCCCTCCACACTCCATCTTTTGCTCCATCCTTCCCTGTCCTTCCTTCCCCGTCCATCTTCCCTCCATCCCTTCCCATCCATCTTTTCCTCCATCCTTCCCCATCCCTCCACACTCCATCCTTTGCTCCATTCCTTCACACTCCATCCTTCTCCATCCCTCCGCGCTCCATCCTTCCCTCCATCCCTTCCCTGTCCCTCCACACTCCATCCTTCCCCATCCCTCCACGCTCCATCTTTTGCTCCATCCTTCTTCCTTCCCCATCCATCTTCCCTCCATCCCTTCCCGTCCATCTTTTCCTCCATCCTTCTCCATCCATCCTTCCCCATCCCTCCACGCTCCATCCTTTGCTCCATCCTTCTCTGTCCTTCCTTCCCCATCCATCTTCCCTCCATCCCTTCCCGTCCATCTTTTCCCTCCATCCTTCCCCATCCATCCTTCCCCATCCCTCCACCCTCCATCCATCCCCACCCCAGGCAGTGACAGCCCTGGGGACAGCACTCACCCGATTTCTTCTCCAGCTTCTATCCGGCGGGTGCTGAAGAAGGCGATCCTGGGGAAGCGGAGGTCCTGATGCGACATGAAGACTCGCACCGGGATGAGGTTTGGCTCGCAGAGGTGGTTTATAAAGCGGCTGATGTTGCCATAGAAACGGGCATCTATGCAGTACACCTCTCCATCCTAGAGGAGAAACGTGGCATCTTTCATTAGCTCAGGTCAGGTTTGGTATTATCACTGCTACTTGTTTAAAAAAAACAATAAAAAAAATGACCAAACTATTGGTCGTTCCACTAAAACTCTGGAGAGCTTCAAGAGCCACCACCATCCTGGCAGGACACCCACTGTGAGCTTAAAAGGACTAAACACACACACTTTTATATTCAACAGCACTCTGAAAATAACAGTTTTCTGCACATCACTCTGCCCCCACAAGCCCAAAGACCTTTGAAAATGCCCCTGACACCAGCTGGGACACCAGCTCTCCCAGCCTGGCATCGCCAAAGCACCAGTTTGGTGTAATGGGATTGATGTCTGGTGCACAGAAACACCTTATGGGCAAAAGCCAGTGGGTTAGGGGAGGAAGCATCTGTTCTGTCCTCTAATTGAACATGACAGCAAGGAAACACAAAGCCAGAGCCTCGAGAAAACACAGGTTTTTGCAGATAAAAGTAAAAGTGAGAACAGAGAAATTCCCTTTCCAGAGAACTGTAATATTTTGTTTTCCTTGAAAATAAAAGAACCCCCCTCAGGGCTTTTTTATTCCAGCAGAGAATGACTGTGCAAAGCAGAGACTTTAATTACAGAAGCTAATTTCAGTTGCAAAGAGGCCAAAAGCAAAAGGATCCATTAGTGGTGCTCAAACTCCCTCTTGGGCAGGCACCTCGCAATCGTTAATGGACGAGCTGTGCCAGATCCCACCACCCGCCGCTGCAGGAGCCCAGGGCAGAGATGTCCCAGCCACTGGGGGAGGTGTCACCCCACATGGTCCCATATCACACACGGTCTGCCCAGCTCTAATTTCAATGATGAGTAATTCCCATCACCCCCCTCACTTCCAGCCATGGAAACGGTGAGGACGTGGTTGGTGAGGACACCACCACCATGGTTGGTGAGGACGACGACACCCACTACCACACCTAGTGACCACCTGGAGAGATCTGAGCTCTCCACCACACAAACCAAGATGTGTTTCTTGAGAAAGGAACCTGCTGCCTTCACCAATACAAGGTGTTGGTGTTTCCTCCTGGAAACCCCACAGAGGCAGCAGTTTTGGCTGTTTGGTGTTTGCCCTCTTTCAGGTGCAGAATGGGATGGGACTGCAGGACCTGGCACCCTGAGGGATTCACCACGCACGGGGCCTTGAGTGACTCCTCACTGTGAAGCTGCTGAGGAGGACAAGTCCCAAAGCAAAGTCCTTCCCACCTTGCCATGAGGGTATTGGGAACCTATGAGTCACATGGTGGCAAGTAGAGAGGAAGAGAAACCATGAACCTGCTCTGGGGTGAGATAAGTCTCTTTCTCCAGAGTGGGAAGGCACCAGGGTTTCCTAGAAGGGAGGAAGCTGGGAGAAAGCCCTTCTTGCCCGCGGGCAGGGGCACAGGGATGCAACCATGTCCAGCCCTGACCCCTGCTCTCCTCGATGGAGCACAACAGGACCAAGTGTGTAAGAAAGGACTGCAGAGGATGGGCCTGCACGTGGGAAAGAGGTGGCTTGAGAAAGCAACCACAGCAGCTAAAACTCAACCTCATCTTTCCCAGAAATAGCATGGTATTTTTTCCAGTGGTCCAGTACAGAGACAGGAAAACCATCCCTTGAAGCAGTGGAAGCTCAGAGAGCATCTGTTGTGCTCTGTCCTCCTCCTGGAAGCAGTGGAAGCTCAGAGAGCATCTGTTGTGCTGTGTCCTCCTCCTGGAAACCCCGGCTCCAGTACAGAGACAGGAAAACCATCCCTTGAAGCAGTGGAAGCTCAGAGAGCATCTGTTGTGCTCTGTCCTCCTCCTGGAAGGAGGCAGGAGTTTTGGCTGTTTGGTGTTTGCCCTCTTTCAGGTGCAGAATGGGATGGCACTGCAAGACCTGGCACCCTGAGGGATTCACCACGCACGTGGCCTTGAGTGACAACTCAAGGTACGGGGCCATCAGAAGTGACATCCCCACCCCTGCCTCTCACTCCAGCACCAGCCCATCCAGGCCAATCCTTCACGATACACAGGACCCCAAGGCTGCCCCTGCCAGGGTTGGGGTTCACACCATCACTCAGGAGGCCACAGGACCAGTCTGGCTCCTCCACCCACCTCATGGGCCTCTTCTAACCACCCCTCCATGACTCGGTGCCCAGTTTTCTACAGAAGCACCACTTTGAAGATGCCATGGGAAACAATGAGGTGCTCCCACCCATACTTAGGTCTCCCTACCTGCTTCACTGACAGTTTGACACCAGCAAATGCAGAAGTTCTCCCTCAAGGCAGCCAGAAGGGCCAACCAAAAGGCAAGGCAAGGCCCAGGTGGGCTCTCGCTCATAAAAGCACAAACCAGACTCAAGTCCCTGCTGCCTTTCAACTTCTTAATTACAGTTTGGGCCGTCTTGTTTTCAGACTGACTAGAAGATGCATTACTTATCTTTTTTTCAGTTGAATGTCTGTGGCTTTAAAAAAAGGAAAAAAAATAAAGCAAAGCTTCTTTGTCACTAGCTGATGACAGAAACAAGACAGAGACTGTTTTACAGCCTTCCTTGGAAGCCACCCCGCTTCCCCGAGTCCCCAGCTCACCTTTCTCCTCTTTTCCTTTCCCAAGGAAAGTCTGAAGTGATGGCCTTGCTTAAAAGCACTTTTAGATGGCACTTTTCAAAGCAAGATTTCTGCTCTGAGACACCCTCCCCAGAGCAGAGCAGGAGAACTTCCAGCACAACCAGCCTCAAGTCCCTGCCAGGGGATCTGACGGATCCTTTTAGAAGTGAACAGGGCTTTTTTTTTTTTTTCCCCATTTTTTCAGCTCATCTTTTTTTCTGAAGAACTCACAGAGCTGCCAATCAGCACAGCTGCAAGCCCGCAGATACACACTCCAGCATCAAAAACTGAACAACTGAACTCAGGATGCCCAGATGGTTTTGACAGAAGAGCTTCTTGTCTTGAAACTGGGGTGGGCAGCACCTACCGTGGTGACCCAGCGCTGCTGGGCTCCGTTTTCATTTCAACAAGCCCTAAGCCTTACCTCAACCCCTCTATGTTTTGATTAAAATGCAGCGAGTCCTTCTCTTTGCAGGCTTTCAGCTCATGCTGTACATCAAGATGGAGACAAATGTTGTCTCTGCTCATCTGGAGAAGCAAGACCTTGGGTCTGTGTCTCGTTGGACACCTTCAGGTACAGTACCTTGTTGTCAAGGTCGAAGAGGTAGGAGTCCTCTTCACGGACGTCTGCCTCAGAGTCGGAGATCAGCTCACCAACGTACCTGCAGGCAAACAGGAAAGGCAGGAATAAGATGCTGGTGCAACCACAAGCTTGGGGTCTAACACCTCTTTCTGGGAAGAGGGAAAGGAAGAGACACAGCCCAGCTCCAGATGGTGACCCCCGGCCTGAGCAGCACAGGCTTGGGGTCTAACACCTCTTTCTGGGAAGAGGGAAAGGAAGAGACACAGCCCAGCTCCAGATGGTGACCCCCGGCCTGAGCAGCACCTCAGAGCCACTGGGGCAAGCTCAGCTTTGCCAACCTCCAGCAGCTAAAATCTGGCTCCAAACTCCATCTTTTCAGGGCAACATTTTTAATATTAAAAATGAGAGTCTTACTTCCAACAACATTTACTTTTCCCGAGGACTATGTTTCTGTTTGCAAATCTCTTTGTTGGCCAAGATCAATGCATTAATCCAATTCTTCTTCTGTTCATGGTGCAGACTCAGCCCTGTCCTGGCTCTCCCAGACACCACCGCGATGCTTCTGCTCTTCACAGCCCAAAGCAAAGTGTTTGTTTCTGTCCATCCTGTATTTTCCAGGGTACTTTGACCGATGACACATGCCACATACCTTAAAAAGTTTTGGTTTAGAAGTCGTAGGTCTAAACTCAGCTGCCCAGCTCCCTGGAAGGATCTAAGTTTCTTTCTCAATCCTTTTCAAACCAGAATAAATCAGAGAATAAACCATAATAGATCTGAGTAACAACCACCTTGGTGTAAAACCAGGTCCTCAAAGCACCCTGAAGCTCGTGCTGCTTGGCTTGGGCTTGGGGGAAGGACTAAATACAGGCACCACCCTTCACCCTCCGACAGATGCTGGTTTTGCTGGAAACTCCCCTGTTGCAGGAGTCCCCGTTGCACTGGTGTTCCCACATTTGTATCCCCAGCTCCACCTTACACAGTTTCAGGCTGTCAAGGTTCAGTGTTTCCTGCCCTGCCTGCAACTGAGTAAGAGACACGAAGGGAGAGGAACCGAGCCAGAGGGAGGATACGAGAGAGAAGCGACTGCATGGTAGGTGCTGGTATGTAAATGTTCCCAGTGTTTAACCCAACGCTAATTAATTATAAGCAAAGGATTCGCAATACCAATAAATATTCTTCGCAGCATCAACAGAGACTTCCATGATCATTCCTCTGCAGCTCACGAGGCATTTTCGAAGCGTTACCCAACCGTAGCCCGTTCCCCCTGTGGCCCAGGACAGCGTGTAACTCCAGGGCTGAGGAAGAGGAAGAGGAGAGCCACGAAACATGAACCCGGAGAGGACCCACGTGCTCCGTGACGAGGGATGGTTTGGCTGCAGTCCCCAAATTTGCGGGATCTGGCCAAGTTGCTCTGCCAAAGCAAGAGGCTGCCGCCGCGTGGGATCCTCCCGTTTGCCCCCACCTTGTTACTCATGAAGGGCTCCCGTAAGGCTGCGGCGTTACTGGAAATCACAGCCTCCTTGGTGACCTGAAGTATAGGAAGATGATGGCCAGAGGGAGAAAAATTGCTGTAGCCGGGCACAGTAGCCAGGGGCAGCTGAGAAAAGCTGAATAATGCTGCACGGAGATACTCTGCTCAGGGACAGCACTTCACGTTTACAACCCAGCGAAACAAAACCTCAGAATCTAATTAAAAACTGGTGTTTTGATCTTTCTTTAAAGGCTATTCCTGTAACTCATTTCCTTTCCAGGGCTGCTTACAGATACAAACAGTTCCCCACTTACACAGGTCCAAAGTTAGGGAAGGATGTGCAAGACATACATGTTCCTACCCAAAAAAAGACCAGGAGCACCAGACCCTTCAGTTGTGGCTGCCCCATCCCTGGAGGGGTTCAAGGCCAGGTTGGAGGGGGCTTTGGGCAACCTGGTCTGGTGGGAGGTGTCCCTGCCCAGGGCAGGGGGTGGCACTGGATGGGCTTTAAGGTCCCTTCCAACCCAAACCATTCTATGATTCAAAAACTCCTGAAGTCAAGCCAGTATCTTTCTTCTCAGCAAGAGGTTCAGGATGCTGATGGCAACATCTCCAAGCTTTACAGTGCCACTCACCACCAGAAGATCAGAGTACACTCCATGCAAAACTCAAGAGCCACAAGCTGTTCCTACACCAGTCTCCAGCAGTTTTCACAGAGTGGGGGAGATGGGGTGTCCAGGGCTTCTTGGGCTCAAGGTGTGGCTGAAATATCTGCCTGGATGCGGCCGGTAGCTTGTTACAGCATCACTGATTTGTACAGAAATGAAAAATTTGGAAGCCACGTAATGGACACATACTGGAAGGAAGAGAGCAGAACCTCACAAACCTCTGGTTTTCGCATCCCACTAATTCAAATCCTCTCCAATAACAGCTCTCGACCAGCTGTGCCGTTTCCAGAACGAGTGGTTACACCATCTAACAACCAAGCAGGAACAGAGCAGATCCAAAACAACCTGCAACAATGGGCTGAGCAACAGCAACATCTGAGCAGGGACAAATTTGGAAGCTGGGGAGAAACCTGCACACGAGCAGGGTCCTGAGCATCTGCCAGGGAGAGAGCTTAAAGTCTCCGTGGGAGCCCAGCAGGGCAGGGAAGAGCACAGTGCTGGAAGCTGAAGGTACTGGATGCCATTAATAGGAGGGTCTGGAGCTGCTGAAGGGTCTGAGGAGCTCTGGAGGTGACAGTGGGAGGGTTGATCGGCCACTGAGCTGGCAGAGCCATGCTCCCAGCCACCAAACTGCTCCAACACTGCTCAGTGCTCCCTACAGAAGCCTCCGTGGGCTGCCAGAGGGACAGAAATGGGAAGGGAACCCATTTTTGAAGCGATTACAGAGAAAAGTTGAAAGGTACCTAAAGACCAGAGCAGGCTGAAAAGCAGGATGTGTGTAAGAAAGGCATTTACACACAGGGACAGGCAGGACCAGCAGAGGTTTGCCAAATAAAAGCCTTGTGACAACTATTCCAGATTTGCCCCCCTGCAGGCATACGTGGAAAGTTATGGAATAAAAGCCATCCTTACAAATTATTATCCTTGCAAAGCAGAGTAACAACCCCCCTACAAAGTGACTCCCTGCTCAGGAAACATTGAATCCAGACATTTAGTGCAAAATGCTCTTCCCCAGGAGCTGCTGTGTGCAAGCAGCCCCTGAGCACTGCCCAAACAGCAGCTTCTCTGCCAGAGAGGAGGGAAAGGAGGACCCAAGGCCATAGGGTTGCACATAAAGACTCCCAGAAAGGCCACCAGTTGTAGCCAGCTTGCAGAGGAGAGGAGCTCTGGAGTCGGTGAGTTGAGTAAATAACGTGTGTGTGTGTGATGGGGAAGATCCTGCAGGGGCAAGACATAAATTAGCTCAGCTTTTTAGCATGCAGCTCATTTAGATAATGAAGGAGATATCGTCTACCCCGGGAACAGCGTCAGCAGCTCCTGGCGAAGGTGGAGGGAAGAGTTAAGCCTGGTTGTGGTATCTGCACCCCATCAGCTCTGATGTGGGGCACAACGCACCCATCGCTGGTCGTTACACCATCACACAGGGGGTAATCACACCATCACACAGGGGGTAATTAATCACACCACCACACAGGGCTGCCCCGTTTCCTTGGGCTGCGATTCACCACTGCTTATTCCTCTCAAATACTAACATTCCAGTAGGACTTGGTAAAGTCCGTGCCCTTTTCGTTTGGGGGCCATTTGCTCACAGGCTCTGGCTCATTTCTGGACCCCAGACCAGGGCACAGAGACCTTCAGTACTTACCATGAAGCCCCACCTGAAGACAGACCTGAGACACTCCCCAAAACAGCAATTTTAAGCTTTACCTCCAAAAACGCATTTCACCTGGCAGCTCCTAACATAGAAGAAATACTTGGCCGATTCACCGCAGATTTTTCTTTTCCTTCATAATTTTTTTGTTAAATTCTGCAATAATCTTCCTCAATCCCCTGCCCCAACTCTATCAAACATCAATAACTAGTTCTAAAAAACCTGAGCACCTACTTCCACCAAGGGCACGAGTCCAGCCTTATTTAAAAAGTCTTAACTCACTGTAGTATTGCAATGAAGAGAACACTTTGCAAAATATTTAATAAAGTAAATATACCACTTTAAAGCCTAAAAACCGTGGGGTTTGACAGCAGGTTTTTTTCATTTGACATAAATCTGAACATTTTTTGTTCTTAAGTACTCTGTTGAATCAGGGCCGAAATACGTGCTCAGCGCCAAGTGTTTTACTGTTTTGCTGAATCAGACTAAAGCCAGAGCAGTGACACTGGAAAACCTCTTGAGAAGTCAGTATTGAAACAGAAAATGATCTAAGAAAGTTGTTCCAAATTGCCTTGGCCTCAGATGTCCCACGTCCAGGGTGAACACGTGAGCTGAGCACATTTGCAGCACAACCCAAACCCATTTTCCCCCCATCGCTCGTGTTTCAGAGGGGTAAGAGCTGAGCACAGAGCCCAGGGAGATGGAGAGGGGTGGAGAAAGCTCCAGGCTCTGAGGAAAAGGAACAAACAGAGCAGGAAACGGAGTCAGGAAACCTCGGACTGAGGGCAAGCAGCTCCACTTGATGCCGATTGGATTTGTGTGAAAACCTCTGCTTAAAGAGGAGCAAACCATTGGATTTGTGTGAAAACCTCTGCTTAAAGAGGAGCAAACCATCCTTGGGGGGAGCTAATGAAAGGGGAATGACTTACTCGCACACAAAGGTTCCCAGTGGAATGTCCTGCATCGTTCGCACCCCCCAGCCCATCTTCTGTGTCCGATAAAGCTGCAATCGAGTCCTGGAAAAGAGGAGAGGAAGCCACGTCAACTGCAGCCCTCTGCAGAAAGGCAATGCGTTTTCACAGAGAGATGAGCAAAAAAACCCAGTAACTTCCACCAGAACAAATGCAAAGATGATTTTAATACTCAACCCCCACCCAGTTCTGACGCTGGGACTACTGTGGGTACACTGCACTCCTGCAGGGCAGATGGGGGGATAGGAACTGCCTGGGGACAAGGGATGGGCGCCCACCAACACCTTCTCCCTGCCCAGCTGCACCTCGCGAGGTCACACCTGGGGACTGGGGAAAAGATGGGACTGGATGATCCGTCTGATTTACACATGGATAGAGGAGAGATTTAGATTAGATCTCAGGAAGAAATTTTTCGAGTTGCCCATAGACCAACTCTGAGGGTGGTGAGACACTGGAACGAGGTGCCCAGAGACCACCCCTGGAGTGCTAAGTCCAGCTCTGGGGCCACCAACAGCAGAAGAACATGGACCTGTTGGAGCAGGGCCAGAGGAGGGTCACAAAAATGCTGGGAGGGCTGGAGCCCCTCTGCTGTGAGGACAGGCTGAGAGAGTTGGGGGGTTCAGCCTGGAGAAGAGAAGGCTCCAGGGAGACCTTAGAGCCCCTTCCAGTCCCTCAAGGGGCTCCAGGAGAGATGGGGAGGGACTCTGGATCAGGGAGGGGAGCCATAGGAGGAGGGGGAAGGGTTTGACACTGAAAGAGGGGAGATGGAGATGAGATGTGGGGAAGAACTTCTTTGCTGTGAGGGTGGTGAGAGCCTGGCCCAGGTTGCCCAGAGAAGCTGTGGCTGCCCCATCCCTGGAGGGGTTCAAGGCCAGGTTGGAGGGGGCTTGGAGCAACCTGGTCTGGTGGGAGGTGTCCCTGCCCAGGGCAGGGGGTGGCACTGGATGGGCTTTAAGGTCCCTTCCAACCCAAACCATTCTATGATCCTATGGGACACCAGTATCCCACCACCAGTATTTCCTTTCCTTTCCCTGCACACACTGGGCAGAAGGCTGGGAAGGAGGAAGGGGACTGAAGGCAGGGGAGCTCTGCAGGGAGAGGTGCTGCAAGGGGAAGGCAGGGAGCTCACGGTGAATTAAGAACACCTTGAGCTAAGTGCTCTGATCCCTTTGCCCTCTGCTGAGGCCATGCATTTAGCAACTCCATCATATCCAGCTGCCTGGCTGAAAGACAAGGAAGAAACTGCTGCAACTTGAAACTTCTTGGTGTAATAGCCGCTCTGTGGAATTTTACTGATGGAGTTTATAGGCAGAGAAACAATCCTGTAAGTCATTTCTGCCTCCTGCTCAGCCAGAACTTGAGTTAAGTGCAGGATGAACGGTCTCCAGGGCTGGGGAAGGTTCGCTCTGTCCCCGAGGGAATCCAAACCCACTCTCAGCAGAGGCTGTTATCGGAATACAGAGAAATCCGATGCTCACCTTAACTTCACCCTGTTGCATTTTCCAGCACTTCTCTTCCCCTCCCCCCCATTCCCTCTTTGCACCATCAGCTCAAACCAGGGGCTGTGCATTTTCTCACATTTGCTCACAGCTCCTGGAGCCTTCCTGCCCCTCTCTTGAGGGCAAATCATGACTTTAGGAGAATGGTTGCTCCCACAGAAAGCGGTTATAACATTAGAATGCTGAATTTCAGGCTTGAGGAAGCTCCCCCCCTGTTTTGTTTCATCCATCACAGCAGGACAGAGCCAAGCTCGGGTCCAGGCTCCGTTGTCAGGGCCACCACCAGCACTGGTGGGACCACAGCTCCCATTTCTGCCTCCCAGCTGACCTGGGCTAACCTGCCAGATGGGAACGTGTGTGCTGCCGAGTGGAGTTAATTTGGAGCAAAATCTGATAAAGGAAGTGGTGAAAATGGAGCAGGAGCACCCACGTGTCAATGCTGCAGCCCGAAGGCAGGAGGTTTCCTCCTCCACCTCCTCCCAGGGACCCCCCAGCACAGCTCTGCCGGGCACCCGACCTCACCCCCCCCTTCCCAACAGAGCCGTGCTCCCAGGCTGGCTGTTGGGTTTCCAACCCTTCCCGTCCCTCAGAAGAACACTTTATAGCAAGGCAAAAATGCAAAAGAAACAGCTCGAGCTGTACAGCTCCTAAATAAACACCCACGTCGACACCGGAGCTCGGGAGCTTGGCAGGGAAAACCAGAGAGGGGTGAAGTTCTGTGGAAAGGCACGGAGCTTTTTCCCTTACTTATTTTTAATGTTGCAAAATGTCATTGAAACTACAAAGCTTGCAAAAAAAAAAAAAAAAGTGTTGTCATTACTACAAAAAATGCGCAAAAGTCTTTTTTTTCCCAGTGGGATTCCTTTTAACTTAGTGCAGAGACAAACTTCTCCATAGCAGAGGTCCAAAATTTTTAGCCTGGCACCCAAATCCTACCAGCCTGATCCGCAGCACCGAGGCCAACAGGTACCCAGGTGCCCAGCTCAGGGGGAGTTCATGCCAATAACGTGGAAACCTCAAGCAGCCAAGACTGGGCACACTGGCCTGTATTTCTAATACAGATTGCTCAACTTACAAGATCTTCTAATTTAAGGTTTTTGCAGTTTTTGTTGCTGTTATTTTCTCCAAAGATCTTCACCTGAGAAGTTACATCCAGGCTGCTCGTGCAGACCCACAAAGCATTTCTGTGTCTGATGGTCAGGCTAATGAATTTCACTGAATTTCACTGAATTTTCAGAGTTGGAAGGGACCATAGAGATCATCTAGTCCAACCCCCCTGCAGAAGCAGGATTGCCTAGAGCTTGTCAGAGCATCTTACTCAGGAGCATCCAGGTGGGGCTTGAAAATCTCCAAAGAAGGGGACTCCACACCCTCCCTGGGCAGCCTGTTCCAGGGCTCTGCCACCCTCACTGTGAAGAAGTTTTTTCTCATATTTGGGTGGTACTTCCCATGTTCCAACTTGTGCCCGTTGCCCCTCGTCCTCTCACTGGGAACCACTGAAAAGAGTCCGGCTCCATCCTCCTTCAACCCACCCTTTAGACACTTGTCAGCATTAATAAGGTCTCCCCTCAGCCTTCTCTTCTCCAGGCTCAAGAGCCCCAGCTCTCTCAGTCTCTCCTCACCAGGGAGATGCTCCAATCCTTGAATCATCTTTGTTGCCCTTCGCTGGACTCTCTCCAGTAGTTCCCTGTCCCTCTTGAACTGGGGAGCCCAGAAATGGATGCAGGATTCCAGTTGTGGCCTCCCCAGTGCGGAGTAGAGGGGGAGAATGACTTCCCTTGACCTCCTGGCCACACTCTTCCCTACGCAGCCCAGGATCCCATTGGCCTTCCTGGCCACAAGAGCACACTGCTTGCTCATTGTCATTTTGCTGTCCACCAGGACCTCTAGATCTTTCTCTTCAGAAGTTGCCTCCAGCAGGTCCACGCCTAACCTGTACTGGTGCCTGACATTTTTCTTCCCCAGGTGCAGGACCCTACACTTTTCCCTGTTGAACCTCAGGAAAGAACACCGCAGTTCCCATGTGATGGCAACAGGGGCAGGGTGCAAATATTAATTGAGCTCCTCAACCTGCTGCTGCTTCATTCCCACCAGCAGGACACAGGAACCCACTTGCACCCCAGCACTGGCTGGTGGCACCTGCCCCAGCTTCTGACCCACCACGGGAAGTTCTGGGTTTTGGGGGTTTATGGGTGAGCTGGGATTAGAAAGCCAGAAATCTCAGGAGTTTGGTGTTGGTCTTGCCAAGACAAGGTGCGTTTGGATCCTCCTTCTCACCTGAGCCCATTCTGCACCACCCGGTTCCTACAAGTCCTCCAGCAGGAGCACGCGTGGTTACACTCAAAGATCAGCGGCGGCTCAGCCATGTTGAATTCAGGCAGGAGTCGGCCGTCCTGAGGAGGAGAGACATTCCAGACTGGGTTAGTTTTCTGTTCCTGTCACCCATCTTCTCCAAAAGCAGAAATCCCCCTGGGTGTGAAAACAGGCCAGAGAACCCCAAGGTGGAGGGCAAACCCCGACCTCCCCAAAATCAGCATCAGATCTCAACTTCTGCAGTGGTTTTGCTCGACCCCAACGGTGGCACAGCAGCCACCATCACCAACAGCTGACAAACATCTACATTTTTGCTGCCTGGCATCACCCTACGCACCACCCAAAAAAAACGTATCTTACAGTGCTGTGCAAAAAACCAGAGTGCATCATCACCATTATCATTTTGCAGCCCTGGAGGGGAGAAGCAGATGCTCGGTCTGGCTCTGGAATAGAGCCTCAACTTCCAAATTACAAGGCCAGTACATCCAAGTTCTGTGAACCACATTATCTTCCCAAACAACACTCCCAAAAAACCTACGATTCAATTATTTATCAACCATAAAGGATCAAGGAAGCGACAGACGCAGTTCATCATATTTTACAAATTTGGCTTTTAAGTCTTGAAAGATGTAATCACCTGTTAACGTATAAATAAAATGGCTACAAAGCAAAGAAAGATGCCAATATTCCCCCTGGGAAAAACTTGCAGAAATTCACAGAACTTGTGATCTTAGCAGAACCTGTCCAAATATTAACCTCAAAACCTCCCTGGGGGAACAAACCAAACTTACCCAAAACAAACCAGGCTTCTGGCAATGTTAAAGTTAAAACACCTCTACTTTGCCTTCATCCGGAAGGATCACAATAAATAAAAGCAAAAAAAAAATCTCTCTATTGCCCTCCCCTTGTTTACATGTGACAGCATGTTCTGTGTTGCTCTGAAATGGAAGCTGATTTCACGCATGGGTTATTAAATGCTCTCCATCACACGGGTATAATTAACGGCTTGGTTGGAACGACAGTAACACAAATAAATCTTCCCCGAGTACACATTTTGTTATGACCAAATACTTCTCAAAGCTGAGGCTCCAACTTCAGGCATTTTAAAAGAAAAAGCAGAGGAGTTGTGCAAGGCACAGGTACTGTTATAAACCCAAAATTGTGGGAAGTTCAGCTCAGGAACACTGGTCTGACCCAGCAGGGGGTTCTGGTCCTCACCTTGTCATACCAGCAGCGCATACTGAGCTGGCCACACATGCAGTTACTGGAGGAGCAGTCGTCTATACACACGCAATACTGGAAGAGAAGAAAAAGGGGTTAACTCCACGCCACTCACCCCGAGCTGAGAGACCAACTCCTGCCACAGGGTCAGAGAGGAGACCACAAGCCTTCGCCTTCTCCTGCTGCAGCTCATTAGCCAGAAAGATAACCAGCCTCATCAGCTCAGGGGCAGTTTGACTCCATTCTTTATTTCTGTGTGCAATGAATGTCACAGAATCACAGAATCTTCTAGGTTGGAAGGGACCTTAAAGATCATCTTGTCCAACCATCAACCTAACTGACAAAAATAGACACCCGCACAACAAACAAGGAGCATCATCACTAAACCAGACCTCCCAGCACTACATCAACCCGTCTTTTGAACACCTCCAGCCAGGAGGAAAGGAGCCCATACCAAGCCATCCTCATTGCTCCTAAGAGGATGTCCCCTCATGTTAACTAACGTTCCTCCTCACCCTGTGAGCTGTACCCCACGCTCGAGGACAAAGAAAGCTCTGAGGAGGGACCAGAGCTGGGGGATGATGCAATATCTCAGCCCTGCCCTGCTGCTCACTTCATCCCACATGGGTGGCTCCAGCTGGCTGCTTCCCCAGCGCTCCCCGACCCAGCATGGTCCCACCACCACCTGCTGCACAAAGGGCTCAGGCATGGAAAGTTCACCTCAGCCATCCTAGAGCTGTGGGTCACCTTCCCCCTATGCTCCCCCACCTCTGCTTTCACAACCCAGCCCTTCAAGGACTCCAGCTCTGGAGACCTCAGCACAGGAAGGACATGGACCTGTTGGAGAGGGGCCAGAGGTGAAGATGCTGGGAGGGCTGGAGCCCCTCTCCTATGAAGACAGACTGAGAGAGTTGGGGGGGTTCAGCCTGGAGAAGAGAAGGCTCCGGGGAGACCTTAGAGCCCCTTCCAGTCCCTAAAGGGGCTCCAGGAAAGCTGGGGAGGGACTCTTGGTCAGGGAGGGGAGCCATAGGATGAGGTGGAAGGGTTTGACACTGAAAGAGGGGAGATTGAGCTGAGATGTGGGGAAGAACTTCTTTGCTGTGAGGGTGGTGAGAGCCTGGCCCAGGTTGCCCCGAGAAGCTGTGGCTGCCCCATCCCTGGAGGGGTTCAAGGCCAGGTTGGAGGGGGCTTGGAGCAACCTGGTCTGGTGGGAGGTGGCCCTGCCCAGGGCAGGGGGTGGAACTTGATGATCTTTGAAGGTCCCTTCCAACCCAAACCATTCTATGATTCACAATGAAGACCCTGGCCTGGATGCTGCAGCCAGGAGGGAGACAGCACGAGGAAGGTCTCCCAACAAACTCACTAACTCTCCAGTTACAGACCAGAGGAAAAGGGTAAGTGGCAAACACACCAACCAGCACCAGATGGCTGATGCTGCAGCACACAGCTCAATAGTATGAGGAAGAGGAGGCTGAGGAGAGACCTCATCACTCTCCACAACTACTTGAAAGGACACTGTAGAGAGGTTGGTGCTGGTCTCTTCTCACAGGTAATTAGTGAAAGAACGAGAGGGAACGGCTTCAAGCTCCAACAGGGCAGGTTTAGATTGAACATTAGGAAGGAATTTTTCACGGAAAGAGTGGTCGGGCATTGGAACAGGCTGCCCAGGGAGGGGGTGGAGTCACCATCCCTGGCTGTGTTTAAGGGACGTTTATATGGGGTACTGAGGGATATGGTGTAGGGGAGGACTTTGTAGAGTAGGGGAGATGGTTGGACTTGATGATCCCAAGGGTCTCTTCCAACTTCAATGATTCTATGATTCTATGATTCTAATACAGAGGTTGGCTTAAGCCTCAGAAAGAAAGAAAAGCAGAATCCCATCTCCCAGAGGCAAGAGCTGGAGTTGAGGACCACAGCTTTAGCTGGAATTTGATGGCAACATTAGGATTTGCATTCCAATTCTGCATGCAAAGCCCGTTGTGAGGTGCAGCGTGCTGCAACGTGTCTGAATGTAGGCACCAGGCCAGGAAGAAACACGTGGCTGCGTGCGATCCCTCACCTGTAAATGAGTGATGTTTCTGTCGATGTCCATGGGGGAGGTGACGCAGTTCTGCGAGACGTATTTGTAGTTGCTCGGACAGGGCTCGCTGTCCACCGAATTGACGCAGGGAATCGGGATCCGCTCGTAACCCCGGGCAATGTCTCTGTCAGGGGGAGAGAGAGAATTATTGTCACAGAAGAAAAGCTCCCCCCAAACCAAGGGGCCATTCCCATGCCATCCTGGGGCAGAATTACCAGCTTTGATCACTGAGCGTTCAAAGCCTGAAAGCAATTCAGACTAGAACAGAGTTTATTTTTTTTCCCACTCTGCCTCACAGATTGTTCTTTGAGCTTGAGAATATTTTCATTTGGAGGACGAATTTAAAAACCATGGTCTTAATCAGCATGTGCTTAGTTCTTGCTAACTGACCTTCCCACCAGTTAATCATGCACTGATGGTCCTTTCTTAAAACCAGGCCCCCAGCCCACCCCGTGCCAGGGCTCTATTTCGTGGCCCACAAGCAAAGCCAGCCCCATTCTCACCTGCTCACGACCTTCTCTATCTGGGGAGGCTTCTCAGTAGATGATTCTCTGAGAGTCTTGTTCATCTGCAGGGCCACCCAGACCTGAGAGTTAAGGCTGGAGCACTGGAGCGGGGTCTCACCCTCCTTGTTCTTTAAAGTGACGTCCGAGCCACGGGAAAGAAAGAGGCTGCAAAACAGCAAGAAAGGATCAGCATCCCCCAAGAGAAACTGCACAAGGGGAAAATGAGCTGAATCCCATCCTCCAGCCAGCCCTTAAGGGGCAAGGAAGAATCCGTAGTAGTGAATAATCACCTGAGTTTTCTTTATTAAGCATGGTTCAGGGAATCCTTCTACGTGAAGGCGCTGGGCCACAGACTGGAGCTCTGGGCACTCAACGAGAGCTCTGGGCAGAGCTCACCTTGCTTCAGGCATGACAAGTACCTTGTTGGTACCAGCCTAAACTTCAGACAGGCTTGAAAATCTCTCTGGCAGGGAAAGATACGGGGTGGGAAGAGTAGGCTGGAAATGGAAAAGTGCCACGGGAAACTGATATTGGACTTGGCCCTTGTTTATACTCACCAGCTTTTGGGTGAGTAGACATGATGACTTTATTCAGAGCAATGATGAAGCAAAGGAAAAGCCCTGTTATGATAGTAGGCAATGTAATTGCAAAAAAAAAATAAATAAAAGAGCTTTAATGAAGGATGCCTGATGCCTTTGTGCTGAGAAGCCCAGGCTGACCATCAAGGTCTCTGCCCGAGGCTCCAGGACCACTCCACCTTTTCTGTCTTTAGCCCAGCTCCGGCAGCAGCCAGATTTCAGACCCAGGGCCCCAAGGAGTGGGGCAATGGAGAACCAAACCCTCCACCCCAAGTCTGTTTGGTGCTTCAACACCAAAGCCATTCCAAAGGGTGTCCCGAGGTCGGTAGGCAGCGTCCAGGGAGCGGAGCGCGGAGGGGCCGGGGCCGTACTTACACCACGCACTCGTAGCGGTTCTCTCTGGCTGCAATATGCAGGGGGGAGTCCCCGTGGATATTCACGGCGTGTAAATCACACTTAGCAGCCAGCAGGATCTCCGCTATGTCCACGCAGCCCGAAAAAGCAGCCCAGTGCAAACAAATGTTTTCCTCCTGGAGGGTAAGAAAACAAGAGTAGAGGCAGTTCAGTGCATTCAAATCCTATCGCTTTGGGGGACTTCACCACTGTCCCGGTTTGAGGTAAAACCGGATCAATTTTGTGTTCTGTAGCTTTGCATTTTGGTTAGGCCTTTTCTAACTCTCTGAAATTAACGGCATATTGTGGAGAAAACTGGTCCTTCTCAGAGTGATCAGACCAATGTTTGTGCTACATGCCAGGGAATGGTGTGCAGAGAGGCCCTTGCTTATACTTATTGCTATAACAACCAAGGGCAGCCAATTTTCGTTACTTGCCCCTTAGAGGGTTGGAAACGGAAAAACGTAGAGGGGTCACGTCTGTGGGGAGGAACGGCCAGGACAGGTGACCCAAACCTGACCAACAGGGGTATTCCATCCCATCTGCCCCATGCTCAGTATAAAAGCTGAGGGATCAAAGGGTCAAGGCTCTTCCTGCAATGGCCGACGTCCGAAGAGGACCCTGTCTGTTCATCTGCCTTTGATCCCCATGTGTTCCTGACTCCAGAGCTGGAATCCTGCTCCTGTCCATCACCGAGTCCAGGCTGGGACTTCCCCAGTGCCTGCTGGTGACGGGACTGTCATCCTGGGAGCTTGATACGATTTTGTATATGTGTTGTATCTATTTCATTATTTTCTTCTCTTTTACTTTAATATTATTTTTAATTAAAGTAGTTTAGTTAATTCTAAACTTTTCAATCTCCTTATCTCTTCCTCTCCTCTTTCGGGGGGGGGTGGGGAAGGGCCATCTGTTGGTTCGGTTGCGGTGATTTCGGCTGAAACCACGACAACCACCCTGAGCTGGACACCTGCAGCATTCCACACGTGGAGCTTGCAGGCTCCTGGCTCTGGGTTGCTCCTCCTGGATGGGACGGGCAGGGAAATCTCGGCGCAGACAAGGCAGGGAGTTCTCACTCCAGCCGCCCCCGCGCAGCAGCCACGGGGAGGCTGCTCACAAAGCGGCCCATCGCCCGCCTCAGACACGCAGGCACATCGTCTGTCTCTAAGCCACAAAACAATCTGGATCGATCCCTGAGAGAGGTGACAGACATGAACAAACACGCCAGAAAAGGCTAGAAGCTGAGCTCCCCCAGCCCAGACAGACAGGGAAGCCAGCGCCTCTCCCAGCCCTAGGAAGTTGAAGAGAAGAAGAGCACAGCACCAGGCCACGGGCTGGGTGAAGGTGCTAAAAAGCGAACCACGAGCCACAGGGAGAGCAATCAATCCCACTTCAGGCATCTCTTAAATACTGTATGTGCTCATCCCTCACCAGCAGCACCAGAAATAGCTGAACACTCATCTTTTTGATGGAGATATTTTCAGCGATGATACTCTGTTTTCTGTTACAGTGCAATTTGCAGCACACTTTGAACCTTTCCCCCTGACAAGCTCTAAAGATGCCCATTACAACGCTGCAATGATAGTAAAGATCACCTAACTTTTTTCTTTTTAAAGCAAAAATAAAGCACATCTTTTAGTCATCCCAACTTAAGTTAGATCCTTCCTAAACAGGGAGTGGGGAGACCTCTTTCTCTACAGCTTCTGCCTCCCATTATGTTAACATCTAGGAAAAAAAAAAATCCCTAATCAGCATCACATACCAACGTACAGAAAAAATGAGCCCTGTCGATTGCACAGCACGTGCTGCTGCTCAGCCAGGTTACAGACACTGAGCTTGTTATTTCGCCTTGGATCGGCTACCGAAACCAGCAGCCTAATTACAATCAAAGGCATTTCTCCTGGAGGATGATGTTTCCCAGCAGAAGTGACATTGCTGCTTTAATGACCACAATCAGGAGGCACCCAGCGCAGGTACAGGGACGGATACATCCATCTGTTAAGAGGGTATTTTTCTTTCAAGTAAATTGTTGACTGAGCTGATTTGATTTTCATCACCCGATGTGTGATCTTGGAGCTGGTAGCCAAAAGGCCTCTACGGCAGATCAAAGCAGTCAGTTTTGTTCCGAGTCAGCACTGGGGCTCTGAAGCAAAGCAACAACCCAAAACCTCCCCTCTGTCTTTGCTTTTAGGAACAGTATCAGACCCAGACCTGCCTGGGAACTGTGTAAGCTACCAAGGAAATAGAAGCTCCTACCAGGAAGGGGCTTTGACACTGGGAACAGTGACTCCTCAGGAACAGCTGGAGACTTTCTGAGTCCCATGAGACAAATGTGCCAACACCTACCCCTGCTATGCCCAAGACACAAAACAAAGCATTTAGGGAAACAAATACAAATTAGCTGCTTAAATCCCTTGGATTCAAAAAGCACTATGAGCCTTGGACATGAAAATACACTGCCATGAGGCACGCTGGAGGGTGAACTGATGGTGGGGCAGGTACAACTCATGCAGGAAGCAGAAACCCTTCATTTATTAAACTATCTCACATCTACTGGCCAAAGCCTGGAGTAGCTCATCGCACCCAAATTTCTGGGGTTTCAATATCCTTAGAGACAGAAATTAAAAAAATGAGAAACATACTATTAAGCAAAAAAAAAGAAGAGGAGCAGTGCTGATAGAATGAGTCTCCTGAGCAGAAACCTGCATAACTGGGGAAAAAAAGAGACAGTATCTCCCTTGTATCTTCTCTGTTTACTTGAAAATCCCCGTGAAATCAGCTGGCACAGCCCAACATTCAGCGCTGTTGGGCCCGTGGAGCTCCCAGGGACTCAAGGACAGAGCACATCCCACTCCAGCAGGATTTAGGGAGGTGAAGAACAGGCCAAGAGGCAGGTCCAGCACACTGAGCCACCAGCTCGGGCACGCTCTGTCCACGTTGGTGCCTGTTATGCCCAGGAAAAGCCAGGCCCGTGATACTTGCTGGCAAGAGTATGTGCCCAAACCATCCAGAAAACACAAATATGAGCTTATGTGCCTCAAAAGGCACACAGGATGTCCCTAACCCATGCCCACTGCACACTGGCCCAGGACCAACGTGGAGCTGGTAAGTCTGGACTCGAGGGGGATCTGCCTGGTTCAGCATCCAAGGGGCAGCAGGGTGGACCCAGGTGGGACAGAAGGAGCGAGACAGACAGCATCCTCATGGGCTATGTCAGAAGAGCTGAAGGAAAAAGGACTTTTTGCCAGCTTGCAAACTTTTTCCTAGAATATGGGGGAAAATTCTGCCCCCAGACACCATTCACTCACTGCCCCAAAGCACCTCCGTCAAAGGACCACGGCACCTCCCTGCACTGAGCCTAAAACCTGCCTCCTTGGGATTTTGGGGGTTTTAAACAGAGATTATGGCTAATTTCTGAAACGGATTGCAGGAAGAACCTCACATTATCACGGATGTTGATGTCTGACCCCTTGGCAAGCAGCAGCTTCACCAGCTCAATATGCTTGTACTCGGTGGCCCAGATCATCGGCGTCCAACCTCCATCGTCCTGAGGAGGGAAAGGAGAGGGTGAGACACATGGCACGGGCAGGATGGTTTCCTCCTGGCTTCACAAGCCCCTCGGTAGCCACAGCAGGGTGCACCTTGCCTGGGAGTCACAGACCCCTTCTCTCCCCACGTCTCTCCCTCCTTCAGCCCACGCTGCTGCCACTGGCCCAGGACCAACGTGGAGCTGGTAAGTCTGGACTCGAGGGGGATCTGCCTGGTTCAGCATCCAAGGGGCAGCAGGGTGGACCCAGGTGGGACAGAAGGAGCGAGACAGACAGCATCCTCATGGGCTATGTCAGAAGAGCTGAAGGAAAAAGGACTTTTTGCCAGCTTGCAAACTTTTTCCTAGAATATGGGGGAAAATTCTGCCCCCAGACACCATTCACTCACTGCCCCAAAGCACCTCCGTCAAAGGACCACGGCACCTCCCTGCACTGAGCCTAAAACCTGCCTCCTTGGGATTTTGGGGGTTTTAAACAGAGATTATGGCTAATTTCTGAAACGGATTGCAGGAAGAACCTCACATTATCACGGATGTTGATGTCCGACCCCTTGGCAAGCAGCAGCTTCACCAGCTCAATATGCTTGTACTCGGTGGCCCAGATCATCGGCGTCCAACCTCCATCGTCCTGAGGAGGGAAAGGAGAGGGTGAGACACATGGCACGGGCAGGATGGTTTCCTCCTGGCTTCACAAGCCCCTCGGTAGCCACAGCAGGGTGCACCTTGCCTGGGAGTCACAGACCCCTTCTCGCCCCACGTCTCTCCCTCCTTCAGCCCACGCTGCTGCAGGGAGAGGTCCCTCCAGGTCCTGCATCCCCAGTGTGATTCCATCCCCCACACCTCAGCAGGCTGGAGTCTATTTGCAGCTCAGCACACGGGCAATGGATCTCCAGGGGGTTCCAATACAGCTGAGTGTCCAAAAGGCATGACGAACATTCAGCTTGTGTAAAAGCTCTTACAGAGCTCCCCGAGCAGCCTGGGGGAACTGGCCTTCTCCCAGAAGGAACCCTAATCCAGCGCTGTCTTACCCAAGGGAATGGAGAAGCTTGGTGATGGCGAGTGCCAGGCTCAACCCACCCCACAGCTCCTCCATGATCCCACCACCCCACTGCTTGGAGGAGCACAAGGACAACCCTTGAGCAACAGGCTCCACCAGCAAATTCAGGCTCATGGAGAAACTGCAAACCTAGAGAGAAGGTAGGAAAGTTTCTATGAGGTCAGCGGAGGGGATTGCCTTCTCTGGCAGAGCGGGATGCCCATGGCTTTGTCACCCCATAATATTTTCCAGGTGCCCCCCAGGCAGCAGAACTCTATTTGAGTAACCACTGCGCAGACACACTGGTGAGACTGGGGTCCCCAACCTGAAAGCAGCTCCTGCCCCTCGCAGAAAGGCCTTACCTGGCAGTTGACATCCATCTTCCCGTTGGAGAGGAGGTACTGAACAACATCATAGTGCCCCTTCTTGGCAGCCAAGTGCAGACACGTGGAGCCCTCTGCATCCTGGACACAAAACCACAGAACAAGCATTCAGGGAATGTCCCCTCCCAGCGTTTCCCATGTCTGCATGACACCAGGGCCACTTCGGAACAGCAGAGAAGTTCACAGAGGAAGCAGAGGACTCCAAAAGCCCCCTGCCCACAGCCAGGAGGGGAGGGAGCAGCAACAACCCATGCTGTGATGGAGCAGAGGGAGCTTCCCAAAATGGTCCAAGGTGCAACCCGTGCAGAAAAGGAGACTGAGAGCACAAAAGCTGTGGGAAGAGACACCTTTGCAAAGCCAAGAGAAGGTACTAGCCCCAAACTCTGGCGGATCAATGCTCCTGCTTCCCAAGACACCTTCTCCAACTCTTCTCTGTGTGGAAGGGGAGGCAGGAATCCCTTGCAGAGGTAGAGCTTGCACTTCACATCAGAAAAATAGCCTTTTCTCAACTTGAAATGCTCCAAATATACAGGTTTTTTACTGGGTTTTATTAGCACAAGGCCTTATCCCAACACCTGGCAGCAGAGCAACGGGGTGTCCTGCAGAGGGGCCAGGAGCCTCCCGAGAGACCGAGTCCCCGGGGTGCCCACAGCCGGCTGCTGAGACCAACCCCAAAAAACCCAAAACCAACCCCAAAGGTTGAAAGGAAGAATGCCTTCAGGAGCTGAGAATACAGGGTCTGCTGGAGATGGACAGGCTGTGAGTCATGACGGAGACACTCCCACACCAACCCCAAAGATCTCAGAGCCTGATTTGGATCAGGCGTTTATATCCCAGGAGCTTAGGGCAGAGCAGGGCCCAGGGAGCAGGAAATTAGGAGGAGGAAATGAAAGACTGAAAACACAAAACGATTCCTTCCTGCCTGAGCCCCTGGAAGCGACATCGGAGGGAAGAGCTTTGGGATGGAGCCAAGCGGAACGCACGGCACGGGGCGAGGGAGCAACCCCCCTGGAAAGGATGGGAGGTTTCGGCTCAGGGATTACACTGTGGGGGCTTCCTGGGGTAAAAAAGGGGTTTCTGCACCCCCATAAGTGCCTGTCACATCTGAGTAATGCCACAGCTTTCCCCTTAGCCAAGTGCAGCTTCTCCCCCATGAGCCAAATCCAGCTTCTCAACCCTGCGGAGAGTGTTATTATAATTTAACATGAAGTTTCTGCAGGTTTTGAACAGGGCTTTTACATCCTGTGAACAGGATGGAGTTGGGTCTGAGAAGCCCCCCCTGCACCCCAACAGTCCTGGGCAGGGACCCCCACAGCAGCGACCGTCCCCATTGCTCATCGAAAGGGCCGGAGTTGATTTTAAACCGCAACGATGCTGCTTTCAAAAAGATGAGTAATTTGGTGCAAGGAACTAATTAACATAATAAACTAGTCTAGACTTCAGACGTGATCTCAGGCTTCTAATTTGCTTTTGCAAGCTCAGGGTTTTTTTTTCCTTCCCTTTACCTTTAGAAGTGAAAAAAAAACCAAACCAAACCTTTCTTTTATCTTCCACATGAACAAATCAGGTGAGAGATGTCTGGATTACGCCAAGATGCTTGGGACAGAGTCCAGCATGAACCCACACATCCTGTCCTGCACCTTCCTGGCTCAGAACCAGGCTCCCAAGGATGAGTTTAAGGCTCAGGGTGGGCAGCACTTGGTGTTTTGTGCCATCGTCCTGGCCCCACCAGCTCCTTCACCAGAAGAGCATCCCCCAGCGCCAGCAGAGGAGCGCGCCAACCGCAGCAGGTTGTAACAATAAGAAGTTCACGTGGGGAGGGTTCCTGTGCTCCGAAATAGCATCTGATTTATGGGACTAATAAACGATCTGTCTGTTTTCCAAGATTGCAAAGCAACCAGAGCACGCTAAAGGCAAACAGACAGCTGCATTTTATTGTATTTGTTTAAATTAAAGGGTAGGGTTTGAAGACGGGGTCCAATTTTGCCACCGTGGCGTGATTGCAAGAAACCACACATCAGGCCTTTGGAAAGCAAAGCTTCCTCTCTCATTTTTGCTGGCTTGGCAAGCACCAGCCCATTTTAAAATGTCACCCCAAAAGCTCATTATTAGAGTCTGTAGAGAAGGAAACTCTGAAATCAAACTCCTAACGCACTGCAATGGATTTGTGACACTAATCCTCAGCGGCCCCATATGAAACCAAATACCCCCTGCATTTGCTGCCACAAACTGATGTAGGAAGCGGCAGGACTTGCCCCAAACTGCTCACAGCAAGGAAACCTCATCATTAAAATGACACCACCGACACCCCAGCCTCACCAAGCCTTCACAAGTGAGGCTGTTTCCCCTCCGTCTGCACATTTCCACCCAAGGCTTAAAACTTATCAAGAAGGAAAGGGTGGACAGAGACTTCCCCAGGAGAAAAAGGTAAGGAATAAACTGCTACCTTAGGATCTACCAGTGCTCCAGCTTTGATAAGGTACTTCACAGTTTCCAGGTGGTTGTTTTCTGCTGCTTCCATCAGTGGGGTCCTCTGGTCTTCAGAGCAGGTGTCTATATTGGCCCCAGCCTGTGAAGAGGCCAAGGAAACACAGGGACAATTACAACCAGCCCTGGTCAGCAGAGGAAGGATGTGGCAGCAGAGATTTAGTAGCAAGTTTTGAAGGCCTTCCCTATGTTTTGGAAATCCCCCTGTTTTGGAAAGCAGCACACACTGCCTGCCCTCTCTGCTGCCTTGTACAGCCAGCAGCTGGGGCATAAGGAAGCCTACAGCTGGTATTAAATAACTCTTGTTATCAACACATTTTGTACTGCTACTTTCTGGACACTGCTCAGGTGATAAATTAGAAAAAATTGGCCTCTTCCTTTTCCCAGCAGCTTTGTTTTAGGTCTCTCATTTCTACAGATGCAGCGAACAAAACAACCAGCTCTTCCCAATGTCACAAGCAGGAGGAACAACTTGCCCATGGCAACAGAAGCAGGAGTTTTAAAAATCCTCTGGCAGTTGGCTAACTATTGCTGTTGGAGTCAACGATAACGTTCCTCCAGAGGTCTCTGAGCACATGTTCAGCTCAACATGGAGAGCCTGAGACCAAAGTCTTACTCTTTTCCACAACGCTACCGTGCCATGTGTCTTACCTGCTTTAACTCTTTGGCTTAGCTCAGTGACCCACCCCATTTTAAACCAAAATCTCATAGAGACAGCCCAGTTCCTGGCAGGCCACGCGGGCACACGGACACGTGGAGCACAGCCCCGCTCGCAGCGGGACACGCTGACTCAGGTTCACCTGGCACAAGGAGCTGGTCCCGTCGCTTCCAGGTGCCTCCCACTGACTGCCATTTGTTGGGATGACTTTTCCCCAGCTACAGCTATTTCAACCCGGAGCAGAGAAGAGGCTTTTCAAGTTTAACAAGCTGGGGACGTTTCCAGCCAAATGCTGTGCTACTGCAGCAGCCAGACATCGGGGAAGAGATAAGAAGATGAAGGATTTGGGAAACAAACCAACTCTACGGATACTCAGTTCAGATTGTTTGTAATATCTTGCAAATTTTATGCCTTTTGCTCATACGAGTCTTCACGTGCAGTAACTGAAGTGGGTGAGGGCAGCAGGGCAGGGCCACGGCTGCATCTTCAGCCAGGGCTTTGAAAGCCTCTGACTCCAGACACTGAAAGGCAACATCCCAGCAGGTTCATTTGCAAAGACAGGGATGGCATCGCTGCTTTCTCAAAAGCCCTTGAAGGTTTCCCAGTCACACAGGGCAAACAAAACGTACTCCCAGTCACTCCAGTCGATGTACGCCAGTACGAAAAAGGAAAATCTATTAACTGTTCTCATCCTCCTTTTTTCTTCACGTCATTTTGGAGCAGGTTCAACAAGAGCACCCCTATGTCTTTGACCGCCTTCTCTCAATTAGAAGCCAAATCTCAGACAACGAACCGAACTCGCATCTTTTCTTCTCTCCTTTTCACACAGTGGGACGTTTACAGCGCGGAGAAAAACAGTGTTGGAGTCACTCAGGTTTTGGGAGAAGGAAAGACAAGAACCTGCCAGTTTGTGGGCTCCAGAGCCCACCTGCCTTCGGTGCAAAGAGCGAGTTGGCAGTGGCTTGGAGGTCACCCACAGCCTGCCAGTGGTCACCTGTGTGGCACATGTGGCACCTGGGTGTGCTTAAGACTTACAGGTTCCACGTGCTCCATGGTGCCCTACATCGAAGCAGGAAAGACAAGAACCTGCCAGTTTGTGGGCTCCAGAGCCCACCTGCCTTCGGTGCAAAGAGCGAGTTGGCAGTGGCTTGGAGGTCACCCACAGCCTGCCAGTGGTCACCTGTGTGGCACATGTGGCACCTGGGTGTGCTTATGACTTAGAGGTTCCACGTGCTCCACGGTGCCCTACATCGAAGCTCCACGGTGCCCTACATTGAAGCTTCACGGTGCCCTACATTGAAGCTTCACGTGCTCGTTGCCTGGGCAGTGAAGCTCAACTTGGAGAACAGCCTAGAAAGACAGCTTCAGTCATGTCCTCCCAGTCCTCACGCTACTCTCCACCGCTCCTCCCTCAGCAAACTGAGAATTAAGGAGGTTTTTATAGGAGGGACTGATTTCCAAGTGTGCTTTAGCCATGGAGAAGTGTGCTTTAGCAGAACAAAAACCACAGCAAACTGCTCGTACAGAAGGAGGTAAGTGGAGACAGACCTGAATCAGCATATGGCAGATGTCCACGTGGCCGGACTCGGCGGCAGCATGGAGAGGGGTTCTCTTACTCTGATGTTCCATTTTAAAATTAGGGTCAATTCCATCCACTGAAAAAAAGAGCAGAGACACTTTCAATCACGATTCGGAGATTAGAGAAAAGCGTAACAGGAGAAGCAGGTCTCAGCTAAAAGCTTTTAAGGGACGAGTTCCCAGTGCATCCTCAGCCCTTCCCACCACTCACCACACATTCAGGCCAGAAAGCTCCCAGGGTAGCCCCAGGGACATTCGATATCCAACTCCTCTCAAACCAAGAGCTTCAGCAACACCATGGAATTCAATACGTTTAATGACTATTACAATGTTCACCACTATTACAATTCCTACACAGGCCACCTCCCTCAGATTCACAGTTCCCCACCTCTCAGTGCCACAAAACCAACCAACACTATACAAGGATTAAAAGGGAAAAAAAAATAATTGCTGCTTTCATTAAAGCAACACAGAAGGTGGAAACAACAGAGAGCCACTAGGAAGAAGTTCTTTGCTGTGAGGGTGGTGAGAGCCTGGCCCAGGTTGCCCAGAGAAGCTGTGGCTGCCCCATCCCTGGAGGGGGTCAAGGCCAGGTTGGAGGGGGCTTGGAGCAACCTGGGCTGGTGGGAGGTGTCCCTGCCCAGGGACAATGATGTTCAAGATCCCTTCCAACCCAAACCATTCTATGATTACTACCTGGCTTTTTTGTCTCACCACAATTAACTGCAATTAGTATTAGTGATCCTCGTTACATGACTGCAAACACAGGGCTACAGAATGGATGGAGCATCTCCAGCTGAGAGGAGCTGGGGATCTGGCCAGAGATGCTCACAGCTGTGCAAAGACTGGCAGATGATGATGATGGCCAGACAAAGATGTCTGGGCATGATAACATGTTGCATATGATGAGGCCGTCGTTAAATATCAATGAATAACATTTTTGTGCTATTGAAGACAGGAACAATGAAACTAACACTTGCTAGAAGAAAAAAGAAGAATCTGATAAATGAAAAGAACAGCAAGTGTCCAAAAATGTACCACAAAGTACTGGAGTGGAAAGGAAATGATCCCAAGGAAACATTGTGTCCTTCAAAGGGGGAGATTCCTGGGGAACATTTGTTGGTAAAAACAAGCTCACGAGCTCAAGGTCATCTGGTGACAACCATGTACCCCCAAAACAAACCCTGTGTGTTGAAGGGCTCCTCCTTTCTACTCTCTTACTGATGGATCTTGGCTCAAGCCAATTCCCATCTTTTTACCTCTCGACTGGCTGCAAATCCCCACCTATCCCATTGCAGGGGGAAGAAAAGTTCTGTGGGACTGGAAAAAAATCGAACGTAGGTCATTTGGGGACAGAAACAGCTTCTCTGGATAAAAGCGCACCCAAAGGCAGAAACAAGCTGGGAGCAGGTCCATGTTTCACCGAGAGATGAAGCCCTTTCCAATGACACATCGTTTGCAGAAGTGGCTTTCTCCTCCAGCACGGCTCCCAAGGGGCAGTGGGGAATATGACGCGCGGCCGTGCTGGGAACGGGATAAAAGCGCACCCAAAGGCAGAAACAAGCTGGGAGCAGGTCCATGTTTCACCGAGAGATGAAGCCCTTTCCAATGACACATCGTTTGCAGAAGTGGCTTTCTCCTCCAGCACGGCTCCCAAGGGGCAGTGGGGAATACGACGTGGGCCGTGCTGGGAACTGGGCTGTGGCAGGAGCTGGGAGTGCTGCCAGCCACGCAACGGCCTGGGAAGGAGCCACCTACCCAGCATAAGCAGGACTTTCTGCAGCTCTCCTTGCCTCGCAGAGAAGTACAACTGCTTCGGATGGAACCGTAACTTCTTGGGTCTGCAGGAAGTGGGGAAAAGAAATGTAATTAATACTCACTGGGGAACACCCCCGGCGTTTCACCCCACCCCACTGCTACCCCGCGTGCGTGATCTCAGAATCTCAGAATCTTCTAGGTTGGAAGGGACCTTAAAGATCATCTTGTCCAACCGTCAACCTAACTGACAAAAATAGACACCCACACAACAAACAAGGAGCATCATCACTAAACCAGCCCTCCCAGCACTCCAGCAACCCGGCTTTTGAACACCTCCAGGGATGGTGCCTCACCCCCCCCCCTGGGCAGCCCATCCCTATGGCTGAGAACCCTTTCAGTGAAAAAATTTTTCCTAATATCCAGCCTGAACCTCCCCTGGTGCAACTTGAGGCCATTTCCTCTTGTCCTGTCACCTGTGACTTGAGAGAAGAGACCGACCCCCACCTCTCTACATCCTCCTTTCAGGGAGTTGTAGAGAGCAATAAGGGCTCCCCTCCTCTTCTCCAGGCTGAATAACCCCAGTTCCCTCAGCCTCTCCTCATAAGACTTATTCTCCAGGCCCTTCACCAGCTTTGTCGCCCTTCTCTGGACCCGCTCCAGCACCTCGATGTCTTTTTTATGGTAGGGGGGGTGTCTGTTCCTATGGTATGCACCTCAATGTCTTTTTTATGGTAGGGGGGATGTCTGTTCCTATGATACAGCTCCACAGCACCAGCAAACCACAGGAACAACAACTCTCCAGAAGGAGATCTTCAAACTTCCAGCTGCAACCATGGCCAGCCTTGCTCTAGCGAGGGCTGTATCTGCTCGGTGCCGCTCATCAACAAATTCTGGGTCTTGCTACTGAAAATGGGAACTCCCAGTAGCTACAGCTGCGGTTGGAGGCACAGTGAAAAACTAAATCCTCCAGATAAATCAATATGACATTTAGAGCAATAACTGTTCTCGTGAATCTGGAATCCGTTGGGGGTAACCAATGACCAAAGTGAACAAAAAACGGTCTGAGTGAGGCCAAAATCCAGAGAAGCTACATCTCAGTTTTCTCCTGGGCACTGGAAAGACCCAGCAATCGTTTTCTTACTTTTCAGAGTCCAGGGCAATCAGGGCACTTTCCAGAGTTTCTTTAACTGGTCCCTGGGTCAGGCTCGTAGTAGGCTTTGGATAAACTGAAGACCCAGCCATGTCAAACCCCTCAGCAGCCGAACTTTCTGGCTTGTCTTCCTCTGACAACCGCGTCCCAGTGCCACTGAAGAGAAAAAATGAGAGACAGCCAAGGCACAACCATTAAAAACAAACAACAGCGTGTACCTTATGCCAAAGCAGGAAAAGAAATGGATTTTAAATACGGAGAAGTGCAAGTGAAATCGAAACACAAACCAATATGTTTTGCAGTCTTAATATAGTCTTGTAGTTTACAGTAAGCACTTGTCCCAGAAAGGAGCTGCGCTGCTCTAAGATCACATTTTGATGTTCTCTGTGCTACAGGAGACCCCAGAACATGGGGCAAGTCACAAAAGCCACCAGAAGAAGATCAGAGGGGAAGATGGAGCACTGTTCAATGCAGAGATGGCTTGATTTGTGTTCTCCTCTGTGTTTTCATCCTCTACTCATACCTGTGTCCCTTGGTGCTACACAGCCAGGTACCACAGGAATTCCCCTGTCCCTTAGCAGACCTGGCAATGCCAATTCATTCCACTATTTTTTCACTCCTAACAATACGAGGAAGGAACGGCTTTAACTCCTGAAGCTCTCCTACCTTCACAGCCTCTGCCCCAGCTCACCCTGTGGCTGCCATGCTCTTCTCTGCCCCAGCTCACAACACAAAACACGCTTGCAGGTTCCTGCAGCTGAGTTTGGTGTGTCAGAGAAGGGCCAGGAAACACCTTGCTCCATCAGGAGGAGCACAAGCCTTCAAAGCACGGTCTGGCAGGAGGTTTGAGATGGCCCCACGCTCCCAAGCTCACCTCCCCGTCGTGGTGTCGGCCCTTCCCTCCACAGCCACTGGTTTCTGCTGTTCGTAGGTCAGGGACACCGTCGAGGTTGTGTCTGCTTTTGCTATTGTCACCTCCTTTGCTTTGGAGGCCTCTTCCCCGCAGTGTGGGCAGTAGCTCATGTCGTTGACCTGGGAGGCACAGTTCTTGTGGAAACGGTGGGAGATGCTGCTCTCCGGCTGACACTCCATGAAAGTGCCCTAAAAAAACCACACAGAGAAGAAATTCACACCTCGGTCACTCCGTGCCTCACCCCTTCCACATGCTTCATCCGCAGATCTCTTAAACACTTCATTCGTCACCGCTCTTGGCCCTGGCGCTTCCAGTACAGTAAGCAAGCACTGCCACTTCTTTAGAAGAGAACAAAACCAAGGTAAAAGGGAAAAAACTCACTTGGTTAGGGACCGCAGAGCAAGATCTTTAACTGCGCTTGAGAAACAGAACCAAGAAGTCCCAATTTCCAGCTCTTTCCTCTAACGCTTGAAGTTCTTGCTTATGTTTCTAGAAGTGCCAGTGTACTGTAAGGACGCCCCCAAAACTGGAAAAGGAAACTTCAGACCTGCGTGCTGAGCCAGCACTAAAAGTACCTAACAAAGCTGTGCACAAACCACTCAAGGACCTACATGACTATAATTAAATCAGCTGTTAACCCCAATGTGACCTAACGCTTGAGAATTCTCTGCTCAGATGTTGTTTAGCCCCAGTGCTGTGGCTGACTGCTCATCCAACAGATCTGGGCAACTTTTCTTAAAATTATTTTCCCTTTCCAGCAAAGTCCTTCCGAACTGAACTGAAGGTACCCCAGAATTCTCACCCTGTGATATTGGTGCTACCTGAAGCCCTACTGTGCTCTGTGTTATTCATGACTGAACACACAGACACACACTCCCAGGTTCACCCGTCTGAACCGTGACGTGTCCCTCGGAGACGTACGAGAGTGTAAGGAAAGCCTAGTTAAAACCCATTCTTCTCCTGAACTCAGGGTCCTCCCAAATAATCTATTGAAGTCTATTTCAGCTTTGCAGAATGCATTTAAGGCTTGTGAGGATTTTATCTTTTTAAATGATCTTTGACTCAGCATGAAAACCCAGGATGGCTCCATTTATTACGATTTACCATAATGCTTGAGACTTCTGTAGCATCCTTCATTGAGTCATCTTGAAGAACACCAGCATCAGACAATTGTCTGATTTGATCCTTCCCATGATGAAACCTCCCCATCATCCTGTGAGGCCCTCAACTGGTGTTTTTCAGCTTTACCAACAGGGAAATTAGGATGCTGAGGACTTAAAGGACTGGACCAAGGCTATTAAAAGCCTCGGTGGCAGAGGTGGAAGAAGCAGCAGGAGATCTCAAACACTGCCTTGTTCCAGTGCCATCACTCAGGTTGCTTGCCTAAGCCCTCATGAGCAGGCGGGGGGACAGAACCACTCTTATGGACACAGATTCATTTAAAAACCAAGCTAATAACATTTTTGATGTAGTTGATCTGTACAGAAAAAGAAAAAAAACCAACCCTTGTTCCTAAGAAATTCCTAAGGCAAGACTTCCACTGTGTGAAATCCCAGTGAAAACCCTTCCATAACACCCCTTGGGGTCTCCAGGAAGACAACGGTGACGATTGTAGCTACCCTCAACACACATTTCTCTTGAAAACACCACCTGACGTGCTGTGGAACGAGGTGGAGCTGATGCCAGGAAGTCAGTAAAGCCCTTTAGGTACCATCTCCACCTTCAGCTCTTCCAGCTACTGCCACAGGTACCCCCTCTTCCCTAGATCGAGAGCACGGACTTACTGCAGTGCAAAAGTATCCACAGCCAGGGCAACACTGGTGTTTCACCATCCTCCCTCTATGGTCCTCACACAGCACCAAAAGCTGGACTTTGTTAGACGGGCGCATCAGTTCATACTTAACCACACTGTTTGTGCATCGGCCCAGCTGGAACGGGAGAAATTAAAGGAAATGAAATTACTGGAGACCAAAAACACTCTCTCTGTGCTTGTGCGGAGGAAGATTTTTGCAGCGCACCGCTTTGATGAGCCCTGGCTTTTTCACAGTAATTCAGACGTGTGCCAGATAGCATTAGCAGTGCAGCAGGAAGCTGTGAAAGCTGCTCTCACAGGAAGAAATGCATCATTTACTAACTAACATGCATGTGGACCCTGAGCTGTTTGTTCCTTGCAAGGGGAAAAAAAAAATAAATTAAAAAAAAAATAATAAATGGTAACTGGAAATAGGCAACAGCCAAGCAGCGGCAGAAGGGGCAGTCCCAGGGGCCTGACTCACACAACACACACTCTCCTTTCGCCAGGAAGAGCGGGTGTCGGTGACCGGGAGAACAAGACCATACGCACTAAATCTTGTTAGCCTTCAAAAGTATTAAGTCACAGGAAGATAAAGGGAAAAATAATTGCCCTTCGTTGCCAGCGAAGTTATCGTCTGTACTGGTTCCAGCACTGGCCCCTGCCCAGACCACAGGGACGAAGAGCCAGGCTTTCACGGGAGCTCAGCTCCAGTCACATTTTGAGCATGTTTTCCGAAGGATTTCGCCAATGTACAGCTCTGGGCTTACAAAGCTGTCTGCTCGTGCACCACCATGTTCCCTTAATGACAGCAGGCTCCCTAATTGGGGGTCGCTTTTCCCACCCGGCCTTACTCGCTCCGCTGTGTCAGAAGGCCCAGCGTTTCCTCCTGCTCTCCCCATCAAACATCCACAACTTTTTTACGTCCGTGACGCGACACTGTTTGGGTTCTGCAAGTTCCTCTTGATAAATAACCTCCCTTTCCCCAGACGCTTGGGCAAAGGACATTTATAAATGAGAAATACATGACCGTGAAAGGGACAGTCTTTTTTTCAGTGGTGCCCAGGGACAGGACAAGAGGAAATGGGCACAAACTTGAATATAACAAGTTCCATCTCAACATGAGGAGGAACTTCTTTGCTGTGAGGGTGGCAGAGCCCTGGAAGAGGCTGCCCAGGGAAGTGGTGGAGTCTCCTTCTCTGGAGACATTCAAACCCACCTGGACACGTTCCTGTGGGACCTGCTCTGAGTGGCCCTGCTCTGGCAGGGGGTTGGACTGGGTGATCTCCAGAGGTCCCTTCCAACCCCATACCATTCTGTGATTCTGTGAAAGCCTGCTACAAGGAAAGGTCCTCACTGAAATCTGGGCATGGTTTACTGTGCGCTGTCACCACGAGGAATCAGGGACATGGCACCTGCTTGTCACCAATAGACTGTCCATCTGGTCTACCTGAAGTATGATTTGCTGCTTTTTTCTCAACAAAACTAGACTTTCTATTTTTTTTAAAAAACTCCACTTCTCCTGCAGAATCAACACCCCTACAGAGAAAGACAAGGGATTTTAACCTAAGCTCAACGCTCACCCCTACCATCTCTGATCAACTCACCCAAATTCCAGCTCCAAAGTCTACCTGTGGTCATGACACCTTGGCTAAACTGGTCCCTGTTATCACACAGAGCCCAGGGAACCCACACACCCTGCAAGGGTGGCAGGAGAGGACCCTTCCATTGATTTTTTTACTTAGGAACTGAGGAAATCTGATTAACACAGGAAAAGCTGCACTGTCTGTGTCAGAAAGTCCCTGCTTTATTATGTCACACTACATTATTTGTTAGAAACTCTAAAATAAAGTGCAAAATGATTAATTGCTATTTTCCAACCATCAGAAAGTGCAGCAGGGTGCTCATAACTATTTATAACATTCTCCAAGGACATGGCAGTCTGGAGAACCCACTATTCACACGTGTAATACTCTTATTAACATCTGTAAGTCACTTATCCCATTATGAAAAAGAATCTAAGATAAAGCACGGCCTTTGCTATTCCTCTCCCTGATTTATCCAGGGACAGAACTGTCAAAGCAGAGTATACACGAGGAGGAACTCTTTCATAAACCTTCTGTTTATTTAGAAACCCTGGGGTCCCCCTCTCTCCTGCAAGTCTCCAGGGCATTCTCTCTCTTTAATGAATTAATTTGGCTGTACTTTGGAAATTCCTTTCTCTGTAGGTATCAGCACGTGCTAACAGAAGCAAAGGTGGGCTGCAAACCTGATTATCCCTTTCTCCCTCCATCCACCTTTCTCCTGGGATCCTACAGAAGAACTAGGGATACTCTCCCTCCTTAGCCCACCACCGGCAAGTATCCGAGTGCTGCAGTGGGACTGAGACTGCCAAAAGAAACCCCAGTGCCTCCCAGTAAAAGGAGGATCTCCTGAGTGTGTTCCTGTCCTGCAGCCTCCCTTCCCAGGCTCTAGGAGGGAGTCAATTATTGCCCCACTTCTGGAACCAGTAGAGCCCAGCTAGCCCAGTTGTGACGGACTGGAAAGCATGGAGTGCAATGGTGTTCAATCAGTCAGACCCGGAGGCTGCGCGGGGTTGCCATGACATGGGAAGCTTTGTAAGAGAAGCCTCTTGGGGGAGGAGGGAAGAGGAAGGCTGGGGCAGGCAGAGGACATGCCAAGTTCCCGAAACTCAAGAGCTGGCGACGGGAAGGTTTGCATCAGCTGCTTCGTAGTCAAGGGAAACCCACTCCAAGCTTCCTCTGATTGGGTTTTCCTCACTCGGAGGCACGCTAATGTATTTTTAGCCCACTTGGCCTCAAGTGTGGCTGTTACATCAGGTTGATCCAGCCACACAGGCCAGGACAAGCAGGAGAGATCCACCCAGCGCCTCTCCAACTGCAGACCTGGCCACCTCCTCCCTTCCCAGTGGCTTCAACCCAACTGGGCAACACACACACAGCGCCGGAGCCCTCAGCTTAGCGAGCGAGATGTTTGCCTTGCCATCCCCCCACACCAGTGGGTTCCCAGTCTGGCCAGCTGCAGAGCCCCTGCGTGACCCTACAACGCGTTCACGACACGGCTTTTAATTCTTTATGTCTCTGTCCTCAGCAGAAAAGTCTGTGAGAAGCCAAAAGACAGGTTCCTACCTCGTTATCCACGCTCTCTGTGGCCATGCACTGGTTGTTGGCTAGCGTGGTGATCTCTCTGCTTTTGGGGGTTTCCATTCGACAGCTACAGAGGGGGACTTCCTGGAGACCATCTACTTCCATTGTTTCAGGACCATTGGAAAGACCTGGAGTACAGAGGATCAGGAAATCAACTCTGAAATTCTCTTCCAGGAGAAAAGATCAGTCCATCAACACTACCCATCCTGTGGCATCCTCCCCTTCCGTGTCCTGAAACACTTCCAATGCATTATCTAAACCCTGTAAAAAAGACCCCTTTGTTGCATCAACTGGAGTTTGCCAAAGTCCAGCCACACTACAGATGACTGTGCTGAAATCAAGAATAGTAAGTTAAGAACAGTTTACTCTGAGAAAACCTCAGGAAACCTAAGGAAAAGCAACGAGGAGGTACACATTCCTATCAGCCTGTTTCTCTTCCCCCACCTGCCCCAAAACACTGGGGTCTGGCACCGGAAAATCTGTAGGCAACACCTCGGCGTTGGTAATTTGAATAGTTAGTGGAGTGATAAATAGAAAAGATCAGGAAAGCACAAACTTCGATTTGCAGAGGCTTATTACACAGATGGGAAAACAAGATTGCTGGGACTATTTGGTCTCAGCCAACCAAGAATTATTTATTTTGGAAAGGGAACAAACCGGGGAAAAGAAAGCAGCAAGATGCTCAGACGTTCTTGCCTTCTCCTCATCTCGTGCTCTCGGATTTTGAACATTTTCAAACCTATGTAAAGGTGGATAATGGCTTTGGGGGGGGCTCACCACTAGGTCTGGAGGCTCAGCGTGAATGTTCTTGTGCCTCCTCTGGATCCAACTCAATCACTAGGTTGCCCATGATTGCAAAACACTGGCCCAACAATAAAGGGGTTGTTTTTAGTCCTATGCTCTACTCTAACCCAACACAGTCATAGCGTCTCTTTGCGATGTTTTCGCTACAGAAACAAGCCCTTAAAAGTTTGCCTTTGAACTGATTCACCCCAAAGTGTCCCAAGCTCTCCCTACCCAAGCCTGCTACAGGACTGAGTCCCAGGGAGAAGGAAACGTGCTGCTTTTTAAGCTTTTGAAAAGGGAGTTATTTTGCTGCAAATTTTCAAAGATGAGCTTCATTCCTGAGGGAGATTCCCCTTCAGCTGCCCGGGCAATGGCAGCAGGGCTACCACCCTATCAGCTGAGCACAAGCTCCTCTCATCTTGCAAGGAGTTTCTTTTAGCCACCAAGTTGCAAGACCCAGCCTAGAGAAGGGATGGGATATTTCAAGACACACAGGCAGAGGGAAAGTCCTTGCAAGTTTCATGTAAAATCCTGTCAAGATCTTAAGGATTTAAGAGCTTTTTCTAGGACCACAAATCACAAAGCTCATTCCTCGCCTTCCAAGCTGTCACTTTCATAATCTTTTTGACATCCAGAGGCTCCGGTGAAAGCATCCCTCATCCATCCTGACCCTCCCTGGGTGGCGAACACTCCCACCCACTCTTTGATGTGTCTCTATCAAAAGAGCCAGACACCTTTTGAAAGCAAAAGAGCGATGGGGGACAGATGAAGGGATCTAGGTCAGCCAGGAGGGGCTGGATGGGAGGCAAGTTCTGCACTGGGAACAGTGGCCAGGGGTGAGCACCCAGGAACCACCCCTGTTCAGCTCCAGGAAGAGGAGGGACAAGAGGAACTTGAGGGGGGGCATTGGGGAGATGCTAAATCAGCATCCTTCAGGGAATGGAGGGGAGCTGCTGAGCAGGGACAGGAGGGCTGGGACAACACCTTGGACCCCTTGCTGGGTGTCTTCTTGAGGAATGGAGGGGAGCTGCCAAGCAGGACAGGAGAGCTGGGATAGCAACTGGAGCCCTTGCTGGGTGTCTTCCCGAGCCACCTTGCTCCACCTCAGCTGGGGATCCTGTCCCCATCCCCGTCCCCATTAGCAACTGGAGCCCTTGCTGGGTGTCTTCCTGAGCCACCTTGCTCCACTTGAGCTGGGGATCCTGTCCCCATCCCTGTCCCCATCCCATCCCTATGTCCATCTCCGAACCTGTCCCCATCCCTAAGAGCATCCCAGTGCCCATCCCATCCCTAAGAGCATCCCAGTGCCCATCCCATCCCTGACAGCATCCCAGTGCCCATCCCATCCCTAAGAGCATCCCAGTGCCCATCCCATCCCTAAGAGTGTCCCAGTGCCCATCCCATCCCTAAGAGTGTCCCAGTGCCCATCCCATCCCTAAGAGTGTCCCAGTGCCCATCCCATCCCTGACAGCGTCCCAGTGCCCATCCCATCGTCCCAGTGCCCATCCCATCCCCATCCCCATGCGCATCCCATCCCCTTCCCGC